GAGAGAGAGGACAGCCGGTGCATCAACCCGCACCTTTTGGAGAAGCGTATTTTGGAGGAGATATGGCGGGTTATTTTGATCAGCTGTCATTGAGCACTAATTGGATTGGGGGTATGATGGAGAATATGGTCCGACATTTCCAGATTGCGCAACCACCACATTTGGGTCACTACCCCATTTGCCCAACGTGGAGCTCTTATCAACATTCGAGGGGTGATGGGGCTTGTACCAGTGGGACACGCGAAGAAGAAGATGATTGATGCTTTTCATGTTTTTTTATTTAGTTTTTATTTTATTTTCGTTTGGTTTGGTTTTATTTGATTTTGAACTTGTTATGGTTTGTAAGACTTATAAACTATTATGTTACTTTTAGTTGTCTTTTGGTGGCTTTATTTCAGATTTGCTATGGAGTCTCGGAAAGGAAGGTCGAGAGTGTATATATCTAGCCAAGGGTTGTCTAGAGTATAGAGTCGCGAGTCGAGACCCACAATTGAAAATAAGCGTGGGGTGAGTCGAGAGAGAGGATGAATTTAGCGAAACGTCATAGAAATTCTGCAATTAGAAGTGTCTTTATCAATTAGGATATTGGGGTGGAACGCCAAAATTATTAAGAAGAATGGGCAGTTTTAATTTTCAGTTGCCCAGTTCTCGCGTCGTGAGTCTATATTCCTCACGTCGTGAGTTGGGTCACGAGGTATTTCAGAATACTCATTTCAGCGAAGTCGCATCGTGAGTTTTCTGTTTTCACCACCATTTTATTTGGAGTTCTTATGACGATTATTATGGCTCGTTTCCTCTACTATTAATGTGGCGTATGCTTTCCCACATTATTCTACACGTTTTGAAGATTTGCATCCACCTTTCTTGAAGATTGAAGTTTCGATTCGTCGCTTGTTGGCTCATTTTCATATTTAGCAAGTTCAACTCCGCGTTCTTCTTCAGAAGAGGTTCATATTCGAGATGCACATTTTATCCACACTTATGGAGTTCGATCACGCCACTATCCCAGGGGAGTCTGTTCCTTTTTCTCCCTTTTATTGCTTTTATTTAGTTTATGCATACAATGAGGGCATTGTATGTAATAAGTGTGGGGTAGAAGGTCGAAAAAGTAATTGCTTAGATTGCTAAAAGTAAATTGCTAGAATTTAGTAGAATTAAAAATTTGGATATAGATTTGAAATAATAATCTAAATAAAAATTCTAGTAATAATGATAATCTAAAAACTTAAGTTGCTAGTGTTGTGTGGGATGATCCGATGAGGGCTCAAATGTTTAGTTGAGCCAATATACGTTATAGTGCATTTGTGGCCTCCTTTATTCTAGTGAAATCATGGGACAAAAACACAACATCGCTTAGTTTGAGGGATGCAATATGTTTAGCAGCCTGTACTTGAAATGTATCCAGGAAAACTAATACCTTAACCAATAAAGGTTGAAGTTAAGCGCCCCTGCTTAAGAATGTAGGTTTTGAGTGGAAAAAGTGAGATATTTAAAAAAAAAGAGAGAGAGAGAGAGAGAGAGAGAGAGAGAAATTACAAAAAAGTTAAAAAGTTGAAGAATTTTTGGAGCCATAGAATTATCAAAGTTTGAAGATCAAAGATCAAAAATTCTGAAGAAAAAAAATCAAAATTTGAAGATACCAAAAATCACACAAAAAGGTGATGAATTCAAAGTACAAATTGAAGATCAAATGTCAAAGAAAGAAGAATTCAAGAGCTCCATTATGGTATCTTAAAGTTGTAATTCTCTACTTTATGTTTGCTTGGGTGGCTTTACAAAAATACCTTGAGGTTAAAAAGATTTTTTGCGGATGGATTCAGAGGGATGCATAAAATGAGCATTGTTCAAAAGAAATGGGCTAGTGTTTATGAGGATTGTGAATATTTAGAATTGAGGGGGGTTAATTGGGAAACATTTTAGACACAAATGCACGCGTTGAGGTCTTGGCATAATGGTTGAGTTTGAGTTGGATCGTTCTATGTGATGTTAGTGATGAAGGTTTAAGTTTAAATTAATTAGATTTGCTTGAGGGCAAGCAAAGCACAAGTGTGGGGTATTTTGATATTGCCATATTTATACATATTTTTAGGCAATATTTATTTACATTGTTACTAATAATTTGGTTATTTGCATAGAATAATGGTACTTATAAGCTAAAATTATATTTTGCAGCCAAATAGAAGCATTTTCGAAGATAAGGACTGAAATTGACAAAACATGGAACTTTGGAGACTTGAAGGAAAGAAGAATGGAAAATTCAGCAAATAACGTACTCACGACGTGAGTGGAGAATTCTAGAAGATATGCATCCGGATGAAAGAGTCATTGCCGAATACGCTTATCTCATATTCACGACGTGAGACTTATTGGCTCACGACGTGAACGGGGAAAAATCAGAAATTATATATATCCTTGTCCATTACGACTTGGAAGACTTTTTGGCTGCCTTGAGGGTTCCTGGAGACGATTTTCAGAGGAGAATAAGTTCTGGAATAGGGTTTCAACACCAAGGAAGAAGAAGTTCATACTTAGATTCATAGTTTGGTACACTTTTATTATGTTTTTTATTATGCATTTTGTTTGCTTAGTTGCTAGGATGTCCAACTAAATCTAGCTACTTTTGTTAGCTAGATGAAGCTGGAACCCATGGAGTATTTACTTTAGCTTTGAATTACTAGTTGGTTAAGACTTGTGTTGGATTGATTTTACCTAGCATGTTTGTTTCAGTAGTTAATTGCTTTGATGTCTTATTCTGTGTAGTTGATGAACATCAAATTGCATGAATTAGAATACCTGGTAATTTAGTGAATATTAAATTATTGGAGCTAGGATTAAACCAATCTTAGTTAAGTAATTAATTATTAAATTAGGTTGTGCTAGAGAACTCAAATTATGACTGTAATTGTGTTTTATCAAACCAATCTTACATAGCTCCAATTTCATTTAATAATTGATTTTGTGTTAACTATTGTGTGACCATACATAGATATACATGAATTGATTAATGTTAGTAGATTTAGAACTAAATTGCTAATACTGTCTTAATTGGTAACCAATAGTAATTGTCATAGCTAATTTATAATTCATTGAGTGAAAGTGGATTCAAACTAACAGAAGTGTTTGTTTATTGATTGAGTTTGTGTTAAAGAATTAAGTTCATCTAAACTTGCAAAATTAGATAAAACCCCTTTCTGTGTTAATAATTAGGTTAATTTAGTAGTAGATAAATTAATTAGTCAACACCATTCCCTGTGATCGATATTCGGCTTACCCCAAGCTATACTATAGTCTGACTAGGTACACTGCCTAGGTACAATTAGTTATTTAAGGTAGTTAGGTTATAAATATAACATTAGGTGTAACTATTTGTACGCATCAGCCACCACATGCCGCCGTTCTGCCGCCACCAGTCGCCACTTTGGGTGGCTGTGTGTATATATGTGTGTGTTTGGACGGATGTTTGAAATTATTTATCACAGTTTTGGCCTAAAATCATAACCGCCACCACCGTGAAGTGGTAGCTACCACCGTGAACCACCGTTGACCACCACTACCCGAGGTGGTAGTGGGTAGTGCCCGACTTATTTAACATTAATTAACCTAAAAATTTAACCATTTGAATAATTGGCACACTATTGGGTTGGAAACCCTAATTAGGGTTTAGAAAACCTTAATTTTCGATATGTTAGTTTTGGAGTTGTCGGGACCCGCAATTTGGACCATTGGAATTAAATTATGAATTACACCCGACCACACCGTATGATTGACCTAGTAGAATGATGGACTTAATGGATTAAGTCCTTAATGTGTTAAGTGTATTTAATTAACCCTAATCGTCATTTTATGTGAAAACCCTAATTGTGTTGGGCTTTGAGTTGGGCTTTTTCTGTTGGGCTTAGATATTTGGATTCTGGATGGGCCCTCTAATAACAAGTATATGGACTAGGAAATTTGGATGGGCTTTAGGGTAAGGCCCATGTAGGAAGGGTTTGGGCCCAATTTGTAAAATTGGGCCATATGTTGGGCCTTGGTTCATTGGTTGGTTTTTGGGCCTTCAGAGTGTGTGTTTGGGCCTTGGGCTGGGATCAAGCTAGGTTGGGGGTAAAGTAGTCTTTTTACCCCAAACATGGACTTATGGTTATGTATTGAAACCCAATTATTAATTTGGTGTTGTTTTGATGTTGACAGTTCGGAAATCTGTCATCCAGCAGCTAGAGTTTTATCCGCGGGACTTCAGCAGTGCGAGGTAAGTCTCCTCACTGTTTGTATAGGTGGAAGGCACCAATGCCGACCCATTTGGTTTATGTATTGTAGGAAGACTCGGGGGTTAGCCCTAGGCATTATGTATTAAAGACCAGGAGGTGGCTCCTGGCATTATGTATGAAAGACCAGAAGGTGGCTCCTGGCACATTGTATGCTCATTAGCTAAGTAGAGTAGTATTTATGCTAGTTGTCTTTATGATGCTTGCATGGAAGACCAGGAGGTGGCTCTTGGCACTTGTCTGTAAGACCCAGGAGTGGCCCCCGGCTTGGCAAGAAAGACCACGAGGTGGCCCGTGGCTTAATGGCAAGACTATGTACAGCACATAACACCTTTATTGATTATGATATATAAATGATATTTATGGCTCACAGTTATGTATGGCATGTATGGATCGGTCGATATGTGGTATTTGGGGACTCACTAAGCTTTGTGCTTACGGTTTTCAGTTTTGGTTTCTGGTACCTCCAGTTTTCAATAAAGGAGCTCGGGACAATCGCAACGCATACACCTATGTTTTTCCGCAATATGTGATTTCTAGGAATGAACTCTGATAAATGTTTTATTTAAAATGTTTTTCAATATGTGAACAAAGTTACAATAGTGTTTTAGTTATATTAAAAATGAAAATTTTACCCTGAAATTTTGGGATGTTACAGTAAAATACACTCTTATTGTTAACTGAGACACACTTTGGCTTTATCCATGACAAGAAAAAGCAATAAGCATAACTCATTACGCTCTAAGTCTAAAAAACAAAGTTACAAACACGATCTACCAGAGACAACTTATGTGCAGGTTTTTAGGGTTTTGCATCAAAATAACGAATGCAACAACAATTTATTATCAAAATTTTGCATAATAAAATAATTCTTGATAATGGTAACCCAGCAAATTCAATCCATGTGCAAGGATTTTATTAATACACGCGAGCCTTTGGTGGGAAAGTCTTCACGTCATCATCAAGAGTATTCATGTGAACCGGCCTGTAGTCTAGTCACACCTTCTCATTCTCCCAGTATATGCACATATTTTAATATCATCATATAATTTCATGAAAAAAAGTAAGATGTTATTTCTTGAATTTAAGAGAGAAATAGAGATATTTACCCGAGTGTGTGTTTCATCCATTTCTCATCATCTCTTTTCTGAAAAAGCATCAATTCGAACATTTATGAGAAAAGGTGAAGAAAAGAAGGAAATTAAAAAGAAGATGTGAAAATGAGCAAACCGTAAAATCTTCACGAGCATGAGCTCCTCTACTCTCTTTCCTGGCTTCAGCTGAATGCATGGTGATGCATGCATTAATCAATCCAACTCTATCGTCTCTAGCAAGTCAGAGTTCCTGAAATATGTCTTCACATAAATAACAGACTATTATCAAAAATACTAAATTTTAAAGGTCCAATCGAACTTACCATATCAAGCTTCTATCTTTCAATTTGACATCATGATAACTCTCCCAAGCTTTGTCAATCAGATTGAAACCTGCAACACTCACATAGTCATTAGTCAGTGATAAGACCAGACTTTACTGGGTAATAGTAAGAGGGCAAAAAGGGCATATGAGTGATTCATCCATGTTCTGGTGGAATATTGCCCAAGGGGTATTTTAGTCTTTTCTTTAATTTCCATTTTGTTAGTCTATAGCCAATTGTGAGTGGTAACTAATGGATTGTAAAATATTCAACGTGTCTCCCTCTTTCTCATTGACTAGAATATATATATATATATATATATATATATATATATATATATATATATATATATATATATATATATATATATATACTTACAAATGTTACAGTTTAGTACCATGAGAATTACAAAATATATAATATACAGCATAAAGTTTCCTAGTCTAATATACCCCCTCAGTCTAAGGGGGAGGATTGCGGACACTTAGACTGGATCGAAAATCTTGAAAAAGTACTCGTGGTAAACCTTTGGTGAATATATCGGCAAGCTGGTATCGAGACAGCACATGTAAAACCCTGATTTAGCCGCGTTGTACCTTTTCTCTAACGAAGTGAATATCAATCTCAATGTGTTTAGTGCGTTGATGTTGTATGGGGTTGCCCGACATGTAAATCGCACTAACATTATCACAGTAAACTAAAGAAGTACGCATTGGAGAATGACCCAATTCGAGTAATAAATTACATAACCAACATATTTCAGCAACTGCATTTGCAACACCTCTATATTCCGCCTCTGCACTCGATCGTGAGACTGTGGTTTGCCGTTTAGAAGACCATGATAGAAGGTTATCACCAAGAAAAACGCAATATCCAGAAGTAGAGCGACGAGTGTCTGGACAACCAGCCCAATCAGCATCCGTGTATGCTGTAAGAATGGATGGGTTGTTGCGATGCATGTGAAGACCCATAGATAGAGTCCCCTTAATATACCTGAGAATGCGTTTAAGAGCATTCATGTGTGCTAGACGAGGAGCATGCATATGCATGCACACCTGTTGTACTGCGTATGAGATATCGGGTCGAGTGAAAGTGAGGTATTGTAGGGCACCTGCCAAGCTCCGGTAAGTGGTTGGGTCATCTATCAAGTCTCCTGTAGAATGACTTAGTTTTCCTGCAGAGTCAACAGGTGTAGTAACCGAATTACAATCTGTCATATTAGCACGACGGAGGATGTCTGTGGCATATGTCTGTTGAGATAGGAATAGGCCTCCTGGATTTCTAGTGACAGCAATACCAAGAAAATAATTCAAAGGCCCTAAATCCTTCATGGCAAACTCGTGTGACAGGCAAGACATGAGATTTTGCTTTAATACCGATGATGACGTGGTAAGAATGATATCATCCACATAGAGTAAAAGGTAAGCGATGTCGTGAGCATTTCTATAAACAAACAATGAATAGTCGCATGAACTATGGTGAAATCCCAAAGTGGTGACATAATCTGTGAACCTTTGGTACCATGCCCGTGGTGCCTGTTTTAGACCGTACAATGATTTCCTCAGTCTACAAACATGATGAGGATAAGATGGATGACGGAAACCGGCAGGCTGATGCATATAAACCGTCTCTGCCAGATGTCCATGTAAAAAAGCATTCTTGACATCTAATTGATTAATCTCCCATCCGTGAAATAATGCAATACTAAGAACTGAGCGTATAGTTGCCGGTTTAACAACCGGGCTGAATGTCTCATTGCAATCGACCCCGACCTGTTATGTTCTCCCGTCACAGACCAGTCGCGCTTTGTAGCGCTCAAGTGAACCATCTGACTTGGTCTTGTGTTTGTAAATCCACATGCAACGTATAACATTCATATGCGGCTCACGAGGTACTAATTCCCAAGTGTTATTGTCAATAAGAGCATTAAACTCGTCAGTCATGGCACGGTTCCAAACGGGTTTGTTAAGGGCCTCGGTTGGGTTACGGGGTAATGGTTCGAAGGTAGTAGAAGTGTGTAGGTTGAGGGGTTGTTTTGGTTTTGTGTTCCCAGTCATGCTACGGGTTGTCATAGTGCGGGTTTGTTGAGTAGGGGGTACCGGTGTGGGGTTCGGTGTGGGAGAGGTAGTGACAGATGTCGAAGTGTGAGTGATGGGTGAAGGTTGTTGAGTTTCGGTGGGTTTTGGACGCCGACTATAAACGTAGCGGGGAGGGGCGTCAGAGCGAGGAGGAGGAGGAGGAATGTAGGAAGGTGATGGGGGTGGGGGTGGGGTAGAAGATGAAGGATGTGTAGTAGTGTGTTGGTTTTGAGGTAGAGGTGGTGGGGTAGTATTTTGATTCATAGAAACTGATTTCCATATGGCAGGATGTAGGTCGTCGGAAGACGAGTGGAGGAATTCATAAGATGGAGGGATGGAGTGGCGAGTAGCAAAGGGAAAAACATGTTCATCAAAGACGACATGTCTTGAGATAATGATTTTGCGTGTTGACAGTTCGTAGCATTTGTATCCCCTATGATCAGAGGGGTAACCAAGGAAAACACACGGGGTGGATCGATTTTGAAGTTTGTGAATGGAAGTGGAAGGTAATAGGGGATAGCAGAGGCATCCAAAGGTTCTTAAGTGATGGTATGTTGGATGTTTGCGGTATAGCAAGTATGTAGGAGTGGAATGGTTTTTGGTTATAGTAGGTAGAATATTTAGAAGATATGTGGCCATCTGGAGTGCATGATGCCAAAAGGTGGGGGGAAGAGAGGCATGTGTAAGTAAAGTCCGAATTATATTATTAATTGATCGAATTTTATGTTCGGCTTTACCATTTTGTGGTGAAGTGTGGGGGCATGAAAAACGGAAAATCATTTCGTTTTTAGTACAAAAATCATGAAAGGATTTATTATTGTACTCGGTTCCGTTATCAAATTGAAACGATTTAATATCACGCTCAAATTGAGTCTTGATAAATTTGGAGAAATTTAGAAAAGTGGAATAGACATGTGATTTATTACTTAATGGGAATGTCCAAAGATAGTTGGTATAATCATCAAGGAAAAAGAGGTAATATCGATGACCTCCGGTGCTTGCAACCGGGGAGGTCCATAAATCATTATGGAGTATGTCAAATGGCATTGAGGTGTAAGTCAAAGAACTATAGAAAGGCAATTTAATATGTTTACCAAACACACAAGATTGACATAAATGTGTTAGGAATTGAGACAGGGTACACGCAGCGGAAACACTATCACACACTCACAAACGAAACGAGAAAATAAAGCAATAAAGAACACAAGGATTTTACGTGGTTCGGATTCGGTGTAAATCCTACGTCCACGGGCTGCAACTAGATTTTCTTATTAACTTAATAAGATTACAATTTATAACTCTACAAGTTATATTTGATGCACACATTCTCTGTTACACAACACACACACACACACACACATATATATATATATATATATATATATATATATATATATATATATATATATATAGGAGATGTGCCGTAAACTTTTCTTGATTCACACAAATTTGCCGTCCATATTGACAAAATTGCCGCAATTGAGAAAAAGGAGCCATCATTTAATAATTTAATATTTCTTGCCGTCCATTGTTTGACCATGCAAAAGATGCGTCCAAATAATAAACAATTGATTTGCCGACATGTACGTCCATTCAATATTAAACAATTGAATTGTTTAATATTTGTCAAGTTACATTTATGGCCCTTGAATTCTTAGGAACTTGTCAATTTGTTCAAGACTCCATAAATCTTAACAATCTCCCACTTGGAGGCTTGAACAACTTTAGCTTTTCTCCGCCATTCAACTCTCAATTATTCCAGTAATCTTAAAAAACAACCAAGTCCTTTTAGGCTTCCAGTTCCAATGAACAAGCTAAAACTTAGTCTGATTTCTCTAGTTGCAGCCGCCCCTCATCATCAATTACTAGAAGGGCCAGTTGAAGCTCCCACTAGCTCCAACTCAGCCGTGGCTAATCCCACCACCGACTCATCCTCTGTCTCAACTGGTTTGGACACTCCACCGGATCCAGAGATACACCAAGGACCACTAACACTCTCCAAACATAGCAAACATCCAACAGGAGAGAAATTTTCAGTCTTAGTCTTCAAAACCCAACGGCTCTTTGTAACTGTACCCGGAACACGCCCCGTGCTCCCACTGTCACATAATCTCCTGACTGGTTTAGACTTTCCGACTCGTTCAGCTAACATCCCCTTGGCTTCAGAATTCATGTTTGCAAAATGAACTCTCTTAGCCGTAGATTTAGCGAACCAGATTTTGTCTTGCTTAATCGGGATGGTCATACTTCCCTCAGCAGGTACCTCAACCATATACAATGACCCGCGCTTCAAACCTTGAGCAATCACCGAATTACCATTGACCACCATCCATTTACCACCACCAAACCTTACTTCCAGTCCTTGTTTATCCAGCTGACCAACAGAAATCAATTTCTTTTTCAGCTCCGAAATCACCTTGACATTTTTCAGGTTCCATGTAGTTCCCAATGAAGTAACCAGATCAATATCTCTCATGCCCGTTACCTGAAGCATCTCGTCATTTGCCAACCGTACCTTCCCAAAATCTCCTTCTTTTAGATTCACCATCGTTTCCCCGTTGTCCATGGCGTGAAACGAAGCCCCTGAATCCATGACCCAAGAGTCTACAGAACTTTCCATACTGAGTATCAATGCATCATCCTCAGACACACTCTCAGCACCAGCAATGTTCAATTCTTTCTTTGGACATTGACTCTTAACATGTCCCACTTCTTGACAGTTCCAACATTTCACATTCTTCAAAGTTCTAGAAGAACTTTTTCCCCGACTCCCACTGCTCCTGCTATTCCCTCTACCTCTTCCGACATTTAATAAATCAGAAGAGGAAGATCCACCTTGATTCTTGCGTCTGATATCCTCGCCTAGAACCAAATCTCTAACCCCTTCAAAAGTCATACCACTGGTCCCCACGGAACTCGTAACAGCAGTAACTGTTCCGGACCAGCTATCAGGTAGAGAAGCTAGTAGCAGCGAAGCTTGCGTCTCATTATCAAATTTAATTCCCACAGATGATAATCTGGACAGAATTGAATTTAGATTATTAATGTGAACCGTAACTGAGCCTTCCTCATTCATCCTTGTAGTGAACAACTCCTTCATCAAGAACACCTTGTTAGCCGCCGATGGTTTCTCATACATATTTGACAGAGCCTCCATCATACCACGCGCCGTGGTTTCATTCATGATGTTGAAAGCAACGCTCTTCGTCAATGACAATGTAATAACCGCCTTGGCTTTCTTGTCCTTTGAGTTCCACGTATCTTCAAAAGTTTTTTCCATTTTCTCCAGTTTGTCTCCGAGTACCATGTCCAAGTCTTTCTGACATAGCAATGCTTCTAATTGCATTTTCCACCAGCTAAAATCAGAACCATTGAACCTTTCGATTATAATATTGTCTTCAGCCATTACGGCAAACAAAAAAAAAAATTAGGTACACTCGTGTGTGACAGAAAAAAACGATCGTACCCTCCAAAACCTCGCTAACCAGGCTCTGATACCAATTGTTAGGAATTGAGACAGGGTACACGCAGCGGAAACACTATCACACACTCACAAACGAAACGAGAAAATAAAGCAATAAAGAACACAAGGATTTTACGTGGTTCGGATTCGGTGTAAATCCTACGTCCACGGGCTGCAACTAGATTTTCTTATTAACTTAATAAGATTACAATTTATAACTCTACAAGTTATATTTGATGCACACATTCTCTGCTACACAACACACACATATATATATATATATATATATATATATATATATATATATATATATATATATATATATATATATATATATATATATATATATATTATATAGGAGATGTGCCGTAAACTTTTCTTGATTCACACAAATTTGCCGTCCATATTGACAAAATTGCCGCAATTGAGAAAAAGGAGCCATCATTTAATAATTTAATATTTCTTGCCGTCCATTGTTTGACCATGCAAAAGATGCGTCCAAATAATAAACAATTGATTTGCCGACATGTACGTCCATTCAATATTAAACAATTGAATTGTTTAATATTTGTCAAGTTACATTTATGGCCCTTGAATTCTTAGGAACTTGTCAATTTGTTCAAGACTCCATAAATCTTAACAAAATGTTTATCAGAAAATTTGCCAACAGAAATAAAGTTGTTCTTATTCAAAACACGCAATAATGATGAACTAGGATGCCCCAAGCGGCAATGCCATAAGTCTTGAGACAGGGCAGCAAAAGTGGAAGGAAGAGTGACTTGAGTAGATGGCGGTGATAGAGGATAGAGATCTCCAGTGCTGTTACATCGGAGGATAGGAATCAGCGTCTAAAAGTCCTTCACAAGAAAGCCAAAAGGGTCAAATTCAATGGATATATTGTTATCGGTGGTTAAACGACGAACAAACAAAAGGTTTTTTATTAGCTTAGGTGCGTGAAGAATATTTTTGAGTTGTAAAGGTGGAAAGGGTGGTGGTAAGGTTGTGTGACCGGTGCCATGAATTGGGATTTGAAAACCGTTGCCAACAACTATGTTGTTTTGTATACCATTATTGAAATAACGGGAAATGTTACCTGTATTGTTTGACATGTGATTTGTAGCCCCGGAGTCCAAATACCAATTCTGATCAGGATTGAGAGTCATGGTGTACATAGCCTGCTCGATGTTTGTTGGTGTATATGAGTCTGCATAACCAAAAGGTGGGCTGCCAAGAACACCTGCAAATGTGTTTCGGTTAGGGTGCCTGTTACCTCGTGTGGTAGGATATGGTGCAGGAGGGGCTTTCCACTGTTGTAGTTGTTGCCAAGTAGGATTCCAACCATTAGAGTTCCAACCATTCCAAGGAGTTTGTGGATAAAAGTAGTTACCCTGACCTAAATTGTTCCCACGTCCGCGACCACGTCCCCGGCCACGTCTGCGCCCACCTCTGCCTGAGTGACCTCCACCGCGACCCTGCTGTCCACGGACTCCTGTGTGGTGTTGTTGCTGATCATAACCAGACCTATCACGACTACCTGTGTTGTGTGAGATGGATTGTTGGGCTGCTGCAGGAGCTTTTTCTGAGGCAGCAAGCAGCGCAGTAGAAGATGTGGCTGCAATGTGAGCTTTTCGGGTTTCTTCCAAAATAAGTTTGGACCTTGTTGTATAAAAATCAAGCGGGGGAGAGGTTTGTTGCAAGTGTGTTGCTATGTTTTCATATTTTTCACCAAGACCGGCAATCAATTGTAGCACCAACCGATCCTTAGAAACCGGTGCATCAACATTTGAGAGTTAATCAGATAGAGTTTTTAACTCTTGACAGTAGGCAGAAACATTGGGAAAAAATTCTAACCGGACATTAGAGAACCGGTTTTCCAAGTATAAGGCTCTTGAAGGCTTGCTATCAATGAATATATTCTCCAAGGCTTTCCATGCCTGTTCAGCAGTAGAATCTGGCTTGAGAATGGTGATTAGTAAATCCTTAGAGATTGTATTGTGAATCCATTGTAGAACTAAAGAATCTAATCGTTTCCATGGAACTTTGTCATCCATCTTTTCTTTATCTTTATCACTGGGTGATTTAGATGAAGATCCTCCAGCGGGAATAATGTGATTAATTACATCATGGGCGCGACAGTGGATCTTGAAGAGTTCCACCCATGTCGTGTATTGTCCATCATCCTGGTCCAACACAATGGGAATGAAATTCCTGATGTTGGTAACTGTAAGAGCAGGATGTAGATTAGCCATTCGAGCGTTAGAGAAGAAGATGAATGAGGAGATAATGAAGAAAAATCAGATGCAAAGAAAGCAAAATCAGGTTCTGATTGGAAGATGGAATGCTACTAATGAAGATAGAATTACAAGTGCTGAGAACTAAAGGAAGATGAGAAGGGAATCGATGCCGTAACTGGAGCCGTGACTTGAGTTTTCGGCTGCTAGGGTTGTTGGGGAGATCAGAGGTATAGCTCTGATACCATAATGGATTGTAAAATATTCAACGTGTCTCCCTCTTTCTCATTGACTAGAATATATATATATATATATATATATATATATATATATATATATATATATACTTACAAATGTTACAGTTTAGTACCATTGAGAATTACAAAATATATAATATACATCATAAAGTTTCCTAGTCTAATAGTAACTTTTGTTATGGGGGACAACACTTTTAGGAATCTGTGGCTGCAGGCTTTTGTCTTAATGTTGTTATATTTAAGGTAGTTGTGGAGTCTTAGAAGGTAGGCAAATATTTGTAGAAAGTTCTGATATGAACATGGAGAGCACCCCCTCTCGAGTGTGGGTTATCCTTTAAATATTAAGTAGCTATTTGGGGTCTAATTTCTGGTTTTCACTATCTTTTTGGAGTTATTGTTATCTTGTGAACCTTTTAGTTCTAATCAGATTATGGAGGGTTTGAACACTAAATTAGGGTTTAGATCTTAAAAACACTCCTGGTGAAAAATTTAACTGGTGAAGAAACATACCTACACCACGACCTTTTCTGATTTTCATGGTCAGATCTTGAAACAACATCCCTTGATGCAAGGTACTTTGCAGTTGGGGCATAACGCTCCAAATCTTTCACCTTCACTATTTCTTAAAATACCCCAATATTCACCACGAGACACTACATTAATATGAACCAGGTTATAACAGTTTTTCAGTTTATCTCTCATTAACAAGAAGAAAATATACACTAACCTTCAGTAATGAGGCACCCAGCACCATATATACCAGTGGGATGAAATTGTACAAACTCAAGATCCTGAAACAATTAGTTATTAGTAGAAATCTATGGCAAAGATGAAATAGAGTTTAGCTATAATACCTCAAGAGGAAGGCCTGCAGGTGCAACCATAGCATTCCCATCCCCTGTGCGAGCAATAGCAGAGGTTTCTGAGAAATTTGCTCTGCCATAACCCTGGAAACAAAACAAAAATGTGATGAGATCATAAGTAGATTTCCCTATTAGAGACCAAATTAAGCTCAATTAACACATATTCGCCCTACGTGTCGAGATTGGGAACAAGAGAAGCATTTGATGCGAGACTCCTATACTTGTGAAGTTCTTGATGATGAACTACACCCAATAATTCAAACTTTTTTGCTATCTTACCACAACAATACACATCAACAAAGACAAAGGAACTTTGCTCAAGGGGCAGCAGTGCTTAGTGCAACAATTCATCATAATATTTTGAGGGAAGGATCATTTCCTTATATATTCATAATAAGATGAAAGAAACAACTTTTGATCATACAATACTTCCTTAGGACAAATTATTTCTTCATACAACATTTTATCCATGAAAAAAAGGCATACTTGTGCATACTAAGGTTAGTGAGGTGACATTTAATGATTCTACTAGGTGATTAAGTTCTCCCGGTGGACATAGTTTAATTAGCATGTTATGCATGAGCAGTTGAAACTTCATTGAAATAACTTATAATCAATCAACTCGAGCAAAATTGCTGATCGACTTTTTGTATCAAATAGTTATTATTCTAACATAAAGGTTGTTGAAAAAATGCTCAAGGATACATGCAAAGAAAAACATTGAAACAAAACAAACCGATACTTTGACACAGCTTATAATATAATTGTTGAATTTTCGCTGAAATATTAAAGTATTCTGATATCAATTTTACAATTCAAATCAAAATAAGATGATCTATAGAAAACAGAGAGAGTATATACCTATTACAATAGTTTTTTGTGAATTGGCTTTTCCAGGTCTTCCAAGCTTCTCAAAATCATCCCACCATTGCGTAGACATCTGTTTCGTATACTCTGCCTTGTATCTCGGATGTAAACCCACATGACTGAAGAAGCCATCTCGGTGCAAAAATACAGAGACCTTTTAACAAAAGAATGCTCTGTGGAAGATGACTTATGCTTGTAACTTTTATATCTAACACTTTTAAACATTTCATCATACAGATGCTATTCGGGATATCTTGTAAAAGTTTACACCCTCTGAGGCTTAGCTTCTCTAAACATTCTAATCGGCCAAGATCATCAGGTAACTTCTCAAGCAACCAACAATACATAAGTTCGAGAAATTTCAGATGTTTCAACATGCAAATGCTACCCGGAAGTTGTTTAATCGTGGTATATGACAAATCTAGCTTCTCTAAACATTCTAATCGGCCAAGATCCTCGGGTAACTTCTCAAGAAGCCTACATTGTGTAATTTTGAGAGCCTTCAGACCTTTCAGCATACAAATGCTTTCAGAAAGACGTTTAATCCCTAAAGAAAACAAAGTTAGGTCTTCTAAACATTCTAACCGGCCGAGATCCTTGGGTAACTTCTCAAGAAGCAAACAGGATATAAGTTTGAGAGATTTCAGATGTTTCAACATACAAATGCTATTTGGAAGATGCTTAATATCTGTACGCCACAAAATTAGCTCCTCAAGACATTCTAACTGACCCAGGTCCTTGGGAACCTCTAGAATACTACCTTCCAGTTTAAGATTTCTTAAACGCCGTAACCCACAAATCCTTCCTGAAAACGTTTCAAGGTTTGTGCAAGCACACATACCTACAGAAATAAGAATCTCAAGATTTCTAATCAATGAGAGCCGATCTTCCGTATAAACTAAACCAAAGAGAAACTTTGGCAAGCTATTGTCAGGGTGAAGTGGGCATCTTTCTACGGACTCCACAATCAAGTCTAACTCGGCTAAAGGACCAACTTCAAGTGACTCATCCACCCTACTAGAAGTATAATGGTTTAAATTAAACTGAAAGGATCTAAACCCCAAACAACCACTTAGGTGCAAATGGGCAAGCTTTTTTAGACATCCAATGGGAGTATGAAGTTCTACCAAATTATAGCATCCGTTGAGATCTAAATTCCTGAGATTTGGACTAAGCCCAAGGTTAAGGCTCCTTAACTTTGAATAACTAATGTCGAGGTTTTCCAGCTTTTGGCATTCATCGGCCATGTGAAGTTCTTCCAAATAATAACAATATCCAAGTTTTAAATTCTCGAGATTTGGAGTCGACCCAATGTCAAGGGTCCTCAACTTTGAATTAGTGAGTTGTAGGGATCTGAGATATAGACATCGACTCGGCATGTGAAGTTCTACTAAATCACGGCATTCAGTAAGAATTAATGTCTCGAGATTCGGAGCAAGCCCAAGGTCAAGAGTCCTCAACCTTGATGAATTAGTAAGGTCGATGGATATGAGCTTTAAACATCCACCCGACATGTGAATTTCTACCAAATTATAACAGTGTCGAAGATTCAAGGTCTCGAGATTTGGAGTAAGCCCAATGTCAAGGGTATTCAGCCGTTGCGAATAACTGAGGTCAAGGAATCTCAACTTGTTAAGAACCTAACAGAAGCAAAAAAAAAAAATAAGATGAATATCGGTGTAATTACAAAACAATGGATGTACAACATTATGATGAATCATGCAAAACAACCAATCAACCATAATTCTACCTTGTTTTCTCCCCCTTCCCGAAGTTGTACAATTCTGCTGTCTACCATCTCAAGTGCCACAAGATTATTTGCTTGAAATGTTGTGGGTAAAAGACCTAAAAGGATAATAGTTCACACATAGACATCGCAATGCATTTGGAAGGTCCGGGATAGCTTTATTATTAAATTCCAAATCCCGGAAACGATTTCCAACTACATAATAAAGAAATCTAAGTTCCTTCATCTTTCTAAGACCTTTAATAAGAATATGCGGATCGAGCTTTGTATGGTGGATTAGTATACATCTTGTTGCTTTAGTACCCTGTAATAAAAATAACAAGTCACCATGAAACTTAAGTCATAACGAATGAAAATGTGTTTGTTTTCCCAAACTTACAAATACATTTGATACTTACCAAATCATTAGCCAATATCTCCTGAATTTCGTCTTCAATCCACAAACGGCTATGTTTGTGAGGCTTATTTGGGTGCCCACGACGAACAATATTCTTGCCCATTTCTACAATATGGTCATGCATTTTCACACGCTTATCATCGAAAAATATGAGAGATTTTTGCTCAAGAACTCTTAAACCATTTCTAGCATGAAATCCACAGCTCTCAAGCACTTTGATTGCCAAGTCTTTCCGCCAACCTTTCAAGATGCATGCAACATCTAGAAATATTTCCTTGTAATCTTCCTCTAGAGCAATATAACTTATTTCCAATTTTTTCAAAGTTTCTGTTTCCGGAATCGTTTTTAGTCTTTCTAGGGCATCTATCCATTCAAGCTCATTTTTACCACAGAGAAACGAACCCAAAACTCTAATCGTTAAGGGAAGACCAGCAGTATAACATACAACTTGTCGAGATAGCTCATTGTAACCATGAACTGGGATCTCTTTACCAAATGCATACCTACTGAAGAGGCAAATTGCTTCATTAAAAGATAAGAGATTGACATCACGAATCACATTCACTCGGTGTGCTAATAGCACTTGCTCATCTCTTGTTGTAATAATAATTCTACTTCCCGGCTTAAACCAATTGGGCTCGCCCGCTAATGCCTCAAGTTGGTCTATATGGTCCACATCATCTAGAACAAGAAGAACCTTCCTATTAGGCATCATCCTCTTTATCACGTGTTTCCCATCATGAACACTGTTTACATTGATGCCTTTATCATTTAAGACATCTGAAAGGATTTGATTTTGCAATGACTTCAAACCGGAAAAAGAAGCAGTTGAAACTTCCCTTACATTTTCAACAAAGCTTTTACCTTCGAACTGAAAGGATATTTGATCGAAAACAGCTCTAGCCAAAGTTGTCTTCCCAGCACCTCCCATCCCCTTAATACCCATCATGAAAACATCATCAAAACCAGTTCTTAAAGATGAAACAACTTCCTTCATCCTGGACTCCATTCCTACCAACTTTTTATCAATGTTGAAACTAATGGAATGTAGCTCTAGTGAAAGCTCTTCAACGATTTTTTGAATGAACTTAGCTTCATGCCTGTATTTTCAAGAAGATTCAATTAACATACTCGTAATCCCACATGACCTGTTACTTTCAAGTCTATATATAACATAGAACTCAATATGCAACATAACATAGTTTTATAATCATATCTCATGGTTAATTTTTCAACCAGACGCAAAGTTTGAGTAAAAAATTGACAATCTAAGAGGTCATTTACGAGCCTTTTAGATCCAGGGAAAACATAAATTATTGCATAGATGTGATGAAAGAATTACCCATTAGCAGTATTCTTCAACTCCCACCCGGCCAGATCCGCTGCTTCATTCAGAGCCTCTCTCCATTTCCCAGCAGACTCTTCCTTTTCATGTTTGGCAAAGGCTTCTTCAACTGCCCCACTTTGTTTGCGGACTTCGGAAGGTTCCACATCATAGAAGACGGGGTACGCAGTATGCTCAGTTGTTCTGTGACATTCCATTATCTTCATGAGTTCATCCAAGCACCAGGATGAAGAAGCATAGTTCTTGGAGAAAACAATGATGTAGAATTTTGAGTCTTCAATGGATTCGATGAGCTCTTCACTAATCTTTTTTCCTTTTTTGATTTTTTCATTGTCCTTGTAAGTGCGAATGCTTTTCTGCTGAAGTGCATGATACAGATGATCCACAAACTTCGTGCGAGTGTCTTCACCTCTGAAACTCAAAAACACATCATACTTAAAGCTCTTGTGAATTGATGAAGTTGAAGAAGATGCCATTGAATGTATACTTGGTGTATCCTGTAAAATCAAATCTTCGTTAGGGAAAATTTATGCGAAACACTTGCAAACAAGCTAGAATGAGATGAATTGTCTCAAATGAATTGCCTCAAGAGTGTATATTATGAAAAGAATGGATCTAGCACTGATAAGGTGTACATGATGTGTGTTTGGGAAACCTTTAAAATTTGGTGGAAAAGAAACCTCCTAATTGGTCAAAATTACTTGTGTGAACGCATTTTATAAGGCTGGAACAGAGCAAAACAAAGATGTTAAAAATACCAGATTTCCTTTGTACAAAAATTTTATTAACTAAGTTTTCCACACAACTTATTCATCAAATCCATAATTTTCAAATAAATTCTAAGACCGAATAATCAATATAACTTCAAAACAACAAAGTTGTTAACCCAATTGTCTAAACATCCATAATTTTAATTAAATTTCTATCAAATTACTTAACAGATAAAACATTTTAAATCTCAATATTAATATCCTCTACTCAAGAACACTCCTACTGTGTGCCCATGGTTGCAAGTCAAAACGATCAACAACCAGTTAAAGTAGAAAAGGAATCAACAATTTGCTTGAATAATTTGATGACAGCATGATGGAAGAAAAATTTTCATCTAAACAATTTTAAAGCCTTCAAAGTTGTTCAAGCAGACTACAATCTCAAGATAAAGAAGTAAAACTCCACAATATTAATTATGGAAACAAAAGAACTAAAAGCATATCATCAGGAGACATACTAAGTTCAACAAAAAAGTGAGAGGCTTGATTAAAGTTTTAAACTGCAAACAGTACAGCAGACCGAAGTTGCTCTGATCGGATAAAGAAAGAAGATTTCGACATCTATATTACGCTAGTTGGCTTTGAGAATCTTTGACTTTTGAAAATCAAACCCGACTCGTTTTCAATTACAAAATGGTACAAACTGTTTCGAATAACCGATATGTACATTGATCTACAGGAATGTTTCACGTCTGAAAATATTTGATCTGGAATTGTAAAGATACCAATATTAATTTTGAATTTGAAAAGAACGGAGACTGAGTGAGTTTTCAAAATCATCCAGGCAAATTAGGCCGTTTCAAGGAAAACAGTCATGAATAAATCTCTTATACAGAAGCTGTTCCTGAACTGGTCTCTATACATCAAGACTAATGGTCTATTTTAATTTGCAAGATTACAACTTTTTAATGTTTGAATATCCTCTACAATCAGAAGGAAATCAAGCAAAGTAGAGAAATTAAGATAGAGAATAAGCTAGTACCGGTGGCAGGTGGTATAAACGGTACTTGAGGTGTTGGATAGAAGAGAGGAGACACGAGAGAAGAGAATCGTTGATGGAGATTGAGAGAGTAGAGACGAGAGAGAATTGTTGACCAGTTGCGTTTGGGTGAAAGTCGGAGACGACCGGCCGTGTGATGATCGATGAAAGTGAGATCCGATTCGCAAAACTAGAATAGTGGACCATGGGGAAGCATTTTTGGTAGGACCTCCAAAATTTGACCAAACCTATCAACAAAAATCTGAAACTAACCCAAAATTACTTTCTTTGGTTGAAAGGTTCTTCTCTTAATTACTTTCTTTCTCTTAAATAATATCATTCTCTTGAGTCTTTGATTACTATCATGTCATTTGTTCATCTATTATTTTTTATTTTTTATTTTATATTTTAAAATTTAAATTTTTTATTCTAATTATATTCAATTAATAATATTAGAATAAAAATTAAAATAAAATTAATACAGATTATAAGATCACGTATTAATTTAAATCAACAATTATAATTTTATATAACTAAAAAATATCTTTAAATTAATAGTTTATTTAAAATAATTGATTAATAATTTTGTGTTTTTACTATGAAAGTTTAATTAATTTTGTAACTGTGGTTCTATATATATATATATATATATATATATTATATATATATATATATATATATATATATATATATATATATATATATATATATATATATAAAGCTAGCATTTTTTCTTGAATCTCATGCATTTGAAACCCGATTTTTTAACTTCCTCAAACCACATTCATTTGAAACCCCCTTTTTTGACTAATGCAACTCAAAAGTTTTCTTAATTATGATTTAACACTCAAAAGTTTTATAACTTATATTATGTTTAATTAGCATTTAGTGAAAAGTTTACTATAAAATGGTCAATTTTTTGTGTCTTTTGTGTTATATAAAATCTTAAATGTAAGAAGGATTTGAAGATATTATGATTCAAAAGTTTTCATATAGTTGAAGCATTCACGATCCAAATATGATGATTTGAAGAAATGGGTTATGTCGCATCGATGCTAATTGTAATATGATTTTTTCTTTCAACCAAAAAAATGAAGCTTTTCTATTCTTTCCTTATCTTCAGTTTCTCATTTAATCTTTATATGTGATTTGTATGTATTACTCAATCTTGAATGTGACTCTCCAAACATCAATGTTTTGATTGGAATATCTTTCTGATTCTTCTTTTTCAAGAAAAATATTTTGATTGCAGGTTAGTGAAGAATTGTCATCAAGTTTCTATGGTTGAATGATGTTAAATGAAGAAAGAAGATTCATAAAATGGATATAGGTTTTTTTGTTTGAGCAAAGTTGACGAATGTTAGTTTTTTCTTTTGATTTAAATGTATGTTTATGTAACATCTTTATTTATATATTAAACCACCCAATGCTCTTATTTATTTGATTGTAGTTTTTCTATTTTGATTATGTTTATTTTCTATTATTTTTTTGTTGGGTTATCCTACACAACATATTTAAAACACAATATTTAAAAGATAACATAATTTTGAACATTTGATATGTAATTATGATAGACTTATCATGATATTTTCTTCATATGAAAGTAATTTATCCATATTACTACGACAAGAATTACATATGACATTTACAAAAATATATATATTATATGTGATTTGTTTAACATGTATATGCACCTATGTATCTTATAAATTTATAATTAAATATCTTTATGTTTAATAATTGAAGGGATTAAAATGATGCATCAAAACCAATTATTTAGACAAATATAATAATAATAATAATAATAATAATAATAATAATACATTTCCAAGTACCGCATTCATTTGAAACTCACACTACAACTCAAGAGTTTTCTAATTTATGTATATTTATTAGTTACAACTCAAGAGTTTTTAAATTATGATTATTAATTAGTAATCACTAATAACTTTTTATTTTCCTTTCTTTTATAAGGTTGTAAAGTTTTGCTCATTAAAAACATTAATGTATTTGAAGAGATTTGTGATTTAAATATGAAGAGTTAATATAAATGTTATAATAGATGTTTTAGTGTTTTTATGTTATTAAAAGTTATAGTGTTTATTTTTCATATTTTTTTATTATTCGTTGTATATATATATTTTTTAATACAAATGTTATAATAGATGTTTTTCTATTTTTATGTTACTAAAAGTTGCAATTCAAATTTTTGTTAATACGTTTTGTTACCCGTTATATTATCATTCATTTGATATATAATTTACATAATTTTAAACGGTTTATAAAATTATCAAATAATTGTATATATCACAATGACTTAAAAATTAAACTATAATGTTTAATAAAATTAATATGTTAACCATATGTTTGCTTTACTACTAACATTTTGTTTCAAAGTAGAAATATTAAATCCTAATTTGGTAAAAGTTATTATTTTAACTATATAATTATATTCTCGCGCAACGCGCGGGGATTCGCCTAATATATATATATATATATATATATATATATATATATATATATATATATATATATATATATATATGGGATAAAGTGAGGATGTGAGGACAACTATTAGCTATTAGATTAATGAATTAAATGTTATTAATAATATTAGATTTTTCTATTTTTAAAATAATTTCAAAATGGAATTTAATACTACAAAATCCAAAGAGGGTTAAAATAGTAAAGTTGCGTATGGAATTCAAAAGGCAACTTAGCTAGCTTCTCAATCAATTTCGATCATATCCTTTGATCTTCTCCTCCAAAATCGCTTTGTAGTTCTAAAGGATTTATCAAAAAAATTATAAGATTTTCTGAGAATCAAAAACCCTCGCAAGATAATCCGATCGATTACATTCCAGTATAAATATGTTAGCAACGTAAAAGGAACCGCGAATGAGAACTCTACAAAGCGCTTCGAGAATGAAGGCAAGTACGTGCTTGTCGAAGTTTTCAAACACCGAAAGTACTGCAATCGATCTTGAAGATGATTTTGTTAACATTATCGCAGGTATGTATTATTTCTAAGTTGATTGTGAGTTAGTGTTTTTTTTAAACATGACGTTTGGTGGGTTTTTTTATGTTTACTGAGTTAAACTACAATGTCGATCATATTCAACAAGGAAGAGATTTTGAATCAAAACATTTTAAGAGCGATGATGTTATATTCATATAGAAAGTTAGGGTTTTTTTTTCAAGGAACATAGTTGATTAATATAAGTATATGATGGCACTGTATTCTATTTTGCATGTGTATGTATATAATAACTAAAGTTTGTAATACTTCCTATTTGATTGTATGTTAGGGTTTAAAAAAATGATTTGTGGGTTTTTTGTGTGATGATTAGTGAGTAAGAGTACTCTATTAATCATATTCTATAAGGAAATATTTATTGAATACAACCATTTTGTGAAGAATAAATTTATATTGGTATAACAAGTTAGAGTTTTTTTGTTGCTAAAACATGACTACTACTACAGATATAAGAAACTTATAAAGAATCATGACCATTTAATGAGTATTATGTAATCATTGGATCGTTATTGTGTAAGACGACCAATTGTTGTTGATTATGATGATTGAAAATATCCATAATGGAGACTGTATCGTTATCGTGACGATTGGAAGATTGAGTATTATCGTGATGATTGGACGACTGAGTGTTCATTTGGAGAATGAAACGAATAATGGGATAATAGGGAATCGATTACTGTATGTGATAATGGAGTACGTGATATGGTTGATGAGGATATGGGTATGAAACGTTCCAAGATATGGTGCATGATTTTAGGAATGTCAATTTACTGGTGATATTAATATTATTTGGTAATGTCTAAAATGCCCCCTATATAATTATTAAATATTTAAAATTGATTGGTTGGATAATAATAAAATAATAGGCTATAAATTGTCCTCACATCCTCATTTTTAACTATTGTCCTCAAAAGAACCTATTCATATATATATATATATAATATATATATATATATATATATATATATATTGTTAGGGCCAAGATCCTCAATCCTATCCAGGATCTCGGATCTAAAAGATATCTAAGGATCCTTAAACCTATCCAGGATCTCGGATCTTAAAGGAGTCTTAGGATCCCGAACATACATCAGGATCCTGAACAACGTCGTTATTATTCCCTAACAAGTTTAACGACTATATTTCTTGTTTATTTGTCACATGTGCAGAAATGGTCAACATAGGACTCATTCACAACGGAGAATCAGCAGGATCCCGTAAATATCAGACATTAGTTACTTGTAACACTCCAAATAAGGTATTACCTTTGAAGCCCTTGAAATTTTAAATATTGCAAAATAAGTCCCTTATGTATTTTGGGCATACTTCATAAGTACGCTTAGCGTACCATGCATGCATGATCGCGGAAGGTGGATGCGTACGCAGGGCATACGCATAGGTACGTGGGGCGTACGCGACAGAGGGCCAAAACCCTAATTCTCGGACTTGACACCTATTTAAACACCCTTAAGCCTCTTGGACTAAACCCTAGTCAGCCACCCTAGTCTTATTCCGTCCTTCTACACCCCGAGATACCTTGTTAGTGTGTTTTTGAGCTTAAAGAGTGTATTTGTGGCCATTTTAGTGCTCATTCAAGAAGAAGGAGTTGCTAAGCAAGCTTGAAGTGGGCTTCAAGAATCTGCATCTAGTTCACCTTGAAGAGCTTCTGGAGGTATAAAGCTTTGATCTTGCCATCTTATTCATTAGATCTAGCTAGGGTTTTCTATTTTTTCCATTTAGTTGGTTTTGGACCTTCTCTTGAGAGTTTGAGAAACTCCAGAGCTTAGGGAGGATAGATCTGAAGTCCTTTGGTCCATTTATAGCATAAAAATGGAGACTTGATGGGTGTTTTGACCTCATGCATGGATTAAGACTCTTGGAAAGGTCTTAATGGGTTGTTGGGAGAATAGGGGACATGCAAAGGCATAAAGTTGCCAACTTTATGCCTTAGGACGTCTTAATGAGATCGGATCTAAGGTTTGGACGTTAGAACATAGAGTATTAAGCACGTAATGGAAAATGTGCTTAATTTGTTTGTACGTTGGGTGTAACTTAGAGTACGCAGCGCGTACGGTTCAGGGACTGAGTATGCTGCGCTTACCAGGGTGGTACGCAAGGCGTACGCACAGCAGATGGACTTGGACTTGTTTTGGGCTTGTAAGCTTTTGGACCTTAATTAGTCATTGGGCCTGGTCACGTTTTGGAGTTAGTGTGCCAGCTTATCTTTTTTGGGCCATGGATACTATGGT